ACAACAGGGTTGTGCAGCCTCCGTTTGCAGCTGCTGGGTATCAGGATCGAGGATATATGGTAGGAGAGCCTTCAAGGGTGGGAAGTGAGAAGCCAAGGAGAAAGAAGCGGACAGATAGTGCAGGGGCCATGGGCTATCCCGCCGGGATGATGATGAGGCCACCTGCGCCTCCTCAAGTACCGAGTCCGCCAACCCAGCATCCTGGATATGGCATGCCTGGGGCTTATCTTTGAGGGGTCGGACGTTTTGATTCTGCATTCACTGGCGTTGGCTCCAATCAAAGTAATCACTTCGTGGAGAAGCATAGCGTGGGATGACTTCTTGGTAAGCTTGTTGCTGATATCAATGTCACTCAATTCTTGAAAAGAAGCTGCCAATATCTAATGCGTTGAGTCGATATGTTCAGTTCAGTGCGGCCAAGGACCCTTTTTGAACTATGCTACATTCTGAGCCGGATGTGCAATATCTATTGCCCTACTTTGCGTGCCAACAGTTCCTGGATAGAGAGGTACGCAGATTGTTCGAAGACCATACCAGAGGCTTGATTGCAGCTTCCACATACGTGGATACGGGACTCGGCGCACGTGGTCAGGCCAGGCTAGTTGCGGGTAATTGCAATCCGAGCCTCGCTCTCACCGCTCGCCTCGTAACTGCTAAATAATGCCATTCTTTACGGAGCGGAATTGCGCACACCAGGTCTTATGACTGTTCCGCGAAAAAGTTGTCACTTCGCTTAAGGCTGCCTGTCGGAGACATCTTACCAGTATTTGTTCCGGTATCCCCGGATTCGGTGGGCCTGACACCGTCTAGATTGTAGTAGGCCCAACCATAACTGGTACGATACCAGCTCGTGCAACACCGAGGTGATCGTCGTCGGTGAGTTGAGGTGCAAGTAGTGCTTATCCTGCAACGACGCGTTTTCAGTATCGGTCAGCGATGACGACAAATCCAACATGCGAATATGTAGACGACAATGCGGCGGCACATATGTCCTTGAGTGCAATAAATCGCAATTAGGGAAGCACAAACATGAGGAAGATGCGCTGAATGTCTGAACTGTGCTCCTGAGTCAGCAACTCGGATCCTTCAGCCTCTTAGTCGGGAGACGGTGCCCCCCGCCAAATTTTGATGGGGCAGTTGTTCAACTGCGCGCCCTTCGAATTGACATGCATGCGCTAAGCCGTTCCGGTAATGATAGCGCGCTCCGATCTGACTCTGAGCAGGCCTCTTCTAGGGCACTTGTCGCTCAAATCCACATTCACGCCTTATAACCAGTTTTGTTACTCTCATTTTGGGCAGAGGGCGTGTTAGTCAACACTTCGTGCTCCTTTCCTTTGGTCATTGGGTCTCAGGTGACAAATCAGTCCCGAGTGGCTACCACGATGGCTGCTTCGAGCACGGATATGGCCCAATTCTTCGATTTCGGAGAAGCGGCTATGCCTGACACGCAGCAACAAGCGGGTCAAGATGCCTCAGCGATTCAAGAAAGCGAGAGGTGAGTTATTCACCTTACAGCCTTTAGCCGATGCCGTCAAGCTCCTTGTTGAGCTAAGACTTACTTCATATTCGATCTTCAGCAACCTTGTGCATGGTTGACTTAGCAGAGATCGAATACCCAGTATTGATGGCAGCACTCACTAACATACTACAGCCAACTTCTCAATGCATTCCTGGAAACAGACAATATCCAAACAGAGGAGTTCAACACAGACTTTTCCAGTTGGCTTCCTGGATACATAAAGCCTGCCACGCCATGCGATTACTGTCGCTCAAGGTCCCTTGAGTGCTTCATGTATAACGCAAAGCCTGGAGCAACATCAGGTTGTTCACCTTGTAACAATCTCTTCCGGCCGTGCAGCTTCTCCAATCCAGAGTTGATGCCCTACCGAACGCAAAGGACCGCTCTGGACACGCTAGACGTAGTGGGCGAGAACGACGTTCACCTTTGGGGTGGCTTGACCCGCAGAAAGCAATTAAGATCAAAGGGTCACGTCGGGCCCATTGACGATGAGTCTGGGGACCTCGGTCCCAAGAAGGGCGCTGCTGCGGCTCGATTTCCACGAGCTGCTGTCAAGATTTTGAAAGACTGGATGGTCGAGCACCACGAGCACCCTTATCCGACTGATGAGGAGAAAGAATTGCTGGGCCAACAAACCGGTCTTTCTACTGGTCAGATTTCAAATTGGATGGCCAACACACGGCGAAGGCAGAAAGCTAGACCCAAGCGAAGCTCTTCGCCCAGCATTCGACCATCGACTGAAGCCCTCAATATCCCTCCAGGAAGAACATGGGAGTCTCTGAGTAAGCCCTCCCTTATTGAGTCCATCCAAGCAAAGGCTCCTGCGGCTGCCGTTGGCCGGTTCATAAAGTTCCGAGTCAATGAGCAGCGTCAGGATAGCTCTAGCAAAGTGGACTTGACCCAAAGCACATTCTCTAATGTGCCTACTACACGTATGCAGGAGTGTTTCGGTTAACTTGCGGTAGATCCTTTCGAACGATGGAAGCACTCTCCCCCCGAAAACGAACCTGCTCCTCTTACAGCTATTGCTCAGGCCGTGGAAAACTTCGACTTGCCTGAAAGCACCAGTGTCAGCAGCAGTTACCAGCATCTCTCTTCCAACAAGAGTACAGACAGCTTCTCAGTATTCAGGGCACCTTCATTGTCGTCTCTGGAGACTGGATTCACGAACATGTCATCAGGCTCACTCGGTTCTCATAATACAGCCTACTCACACGGCTCCAAGCATTCTCTAGGCTCGATGAATAGTCTGAAATCGAAGGAGAGGCGCAGGCGACGACGCATTCCGACTCGAGCGCCCAAAGACTCCGAGAAGGATGCTCCTCGTATTTACCAGTGCACATTTTGTACCGATCGTTTCAAGTCCAAATATGACTGGTCGAGGCACGAGAAGAGTCTCCACTTGTCCCTTGAAAAATGGATATGTGCGCCCTTGGGAGAGGTCGTTGCTGATACCACAACGGGTAAGAGCAAGTGCGTGTATTGCGGCGAACTCGAACCTAGTAAGGATCACCTTGCCACACATAACCACTCTGCCTGTGAGGAGAAGGGCTTAGAGTCTCGTACTTTCTACCGGAAAGATCACCTGCGTCAGCATTTGAGGCTGATGCACGACGTCAAGATGACTCCAGCCATGGATCTTTGGAAGTCTGAGGCCCAATACATCAAATCAAGGTGTGGCTTCTGCAACATGGAGTTCAACAAATGGCAAGATAGGACCGATCATCTGTCAAAGGAATTCCGCAATGGTGCCGAGATGAAAAATTGGAAAGGATGTCGGGGTCTCTGTCCTTCGGTTGCTGCACATGTCACCAACGCCATGCCACCATATCTTATTGCGAACGAAAGCAAGTCTCCTTTCCCATTCTCTGCAACCAACAAGGGCAGTTGTAGCGTAAGTAAACAATCAAATGCCCACCACGCCTGTGCTCTAAAACTGACTTGTGCACAGCAAATACCAGTCAATTTCGGGAGTCAAGATTTGGAGTATTTGCTACCAACGCAAGATCTTTCGGATGCGTACCAAAATGGCGGACAGACAGTGGGTCCGATCGTGCTTCAAAATACTACAGCCGAAGACTACTCCGCGCAAACATCAGGAAACCACCCTCGTGCGACATGTTGGGAGATCTTGACATTGCGACTGGGAAGGTTTGCTCGTCAACACATCGAGAAGAACGGTGCTCAAACCATCACGGATGAGATGCTGCAAAAGGAGGCCCGCATTATCCTCTATGGCGAACCGGATGATCCATGGCACCAAACTGCAGCGGACAACCCCGAATGGCTCAACCTCTTCAAGAAGGCTCACGGTATCGACTCAAGCATACAGCTTTCAGGTACGACATCCCAAGTTGAGATAATTACTTGACACTAACTATCGCAGGCTTCAACTCCAGGCACGAGATCTACGAAGACCTTGGCCTGAGCGCCACCGCACAACTCGACCCCAGTTTCAACGCCAACAACGTAGTCGACTTCAACGTACTGAAGCTACCCATGGATGATCCCACACGTGCGATGCAGTTCGAGTGTTCTCTATCGGGTACAACGACCATGTATGACCACGCGCGTCAGCTGTCCCGCACACAATCTCCTAGCGCCTCTGGCCCGACAGGCTCATCATCCGCCTCTCCCACAACCACTGCTTCACGCCGTGCGTCTGAAATGGCCATGGCCCCCATTACCGAACAGAATTGTATGGACCTCTCAAAAGCGGTTGACGAATTCCACCTACCGAGCTGGGATCAGCTACCGAGCGAATTTCAGAATCCTGCGACAAGTACTGGCTTCCAGTCTACGATTCCTCTGGAAGCAACTACAAGTGCAATGGATGTGAGTCTAGTGGATACGTCGGCGCCGATCATGACTTGGGACGACCACGAGTTGAGTTTTGATATGGACATGGATTTGGACTTTGCAACCGAGTTGGCAAATTCTGAATTGGCGCAGTGATCGGGGCTTATAAAGAATGCAGGCATGCATTGAGGGCTTTAGACTTTGATACACCCTTGGGTTTATGGCTAGGCGTTACTATGATGAGATAGTGTGAGCAACTGCAAATCAAAGTGTTTGACAATCAACGAAAGTCGACAGCCAGAGTGCGTTAGTCTGCCTCTTGTCAACATGAGAAATAAATCTATGCGTTCGAAAAACTTCGGCTGTTAAAATAAACGATGTTACACTAGGAGTTGATAAGTTCAACATCGTGACCTTTGATAATTGCCAACTTCTGGTAGCCGCGAAATTGGCAACCGTCAAAGGGCGTGCTGTCCCGTACGCCGTGGTATACTTATTTTGGAAATGCGAGCCGTGATCGCTCTGCAAGGGCGACTTGATGTCGCGAGCGGGGCGAGATAAGATGCAAGTGGGGGCGACGAAGATGGGCCACGGCGGTTATCTGATGACGCTCAGGATATATAAGATTCATTTCCCTTCACTTTCATCAATTCACTAGCCTTAACCAGCTAGCGATTTCTTCGGCGTCGTGGCGGAGTGGTTAACGCGACAGACTTGAATCCATTCTTGTCATCTGTTGCCTTCGGGCGCGCAGGTTCGAATCCTGCCGGCGTCGTTTTTTGCATCGGATGTTTTTGCCCTTTCGCACCTATAGAGCTCAGAACCGAGACTATTCTTTCAGCGAGCACGGTTCTATCAGAGTACGAGGCATGAATTCTTTCAAAGCGCTGTGTATGACGATTTCAAGTGACGAATCTGAATTTCTTGGTAGGCGCGATTTTTGTTCAGCACGTCAATTGAATCCTCTCGAGTCGCGAGTGTTGTATTATTCATGAGCGACATCTGCCATAGCCCGAATCATGAAAGGCGCCTACCCGCCAGTAGACCCCTGAGCAATCAATTGACCGTGTAGTATAGTTCGTTGCTGGCTATTCTGCTCACAAGGGTAGTCCCCAAGTGACTCAAGGCGCACAGTTAAGTACTATTCAACATTCACCGGGCTCTCAGACTGGCGTGTCGTCGTCATTGTCCCTGGTGTCGGCGTCGGCGACGATTTCGCTTTCTTCTTCGTCCAGAGCTTTGTGCAGACTCTCCATCCAGGCATCGTACTGTCCACCATAGATGTCGTAGTTTGCAGCCGCCGCTCCCAACTTGGGCCATTGCTTTCTTTGCATCTCTTCTGCCCTGGCAACTAACGCTCTTTCCAATACACCGGCTTTTATATCGTAACACATCCCTCTATCCTTCCATACACTATACTGGTCGTCTACAAGCCCGTTCCTTTCACAGAACGTCATCCACGTTCTCCAAGCATCGTCAGCGCCCAGAATATTCGGGCAGCCTATCACGAATAATGCTTCCTTAGCACGCGTCAGAGCCACATTCATCCTACGCCTCTGATGCACTAAGCCCACAGCCCTCTTCACATCCTCGTCGACGAAGCGCTGCCTTGTCCTCGTCGTACAGATAACCACGACCCTCTTCTCTAAGCCTTGAAATGCCTCTACAGGCCCAACGTTTACATCCCACAGCCCTTTCCCACCTCCATACCGACTCGATCGGATCATTGAGCGCAGTGTCTTGACTTGCGCGGCGAACGGCGAGATGATGCAAACGTCTTCCTGCTTGACTCCATCCTTCGAAACTAATGTCTCGGCAATCGAGCACGCAAGCCGCGCTTCACTCATATTGTACCAGCCACCGTTATCTCGCTCTATCTCATCAGGGCCGTTATGCGGAACGTACAGGACTGGCCACTTACGACCGCGCCAAAGTGAGGAGGCCTGCAGTGAAGTATCGTGGAATATGACCTCTGTGATCAGCGTATCATGATAAAAGAGCGAGGATGGTACACTCAGAATAGCGGGGTGAGAACGGTAATTGCGGATTAAGTTTGTGAACGGTTGATAGAGAATGGGCAGCATGGAGCTTTTGAGGACCGGCGGTAAAGATGAAGGTCTGGCTTTAGAGCGAGAAAGAGGATGGTCTGAATACAGAGCACGTGAGAAAAGGCGAGCAAATAAGGATCTGCAGACTATGGGATCTCGAGATGCAGTGCGTGGACCCAGTTGGTGCTCGTCGCCCGCCATGACCAGAATCGGTTGCCGATGATCTTGTGGATACGCGGAGGGCGGGCAAAGGACGCTTATAGCTGATAAAACATCGGATTCGGCAGCCTGACCTGCCTCGTCAAGTAGAAGTGCTCCCCAGTGTAGAGGTGGTGTCAACAATTCTTCTTCGGGATGGAGGATAGAATGAAACTCGCGCTCCATCGTCCAGAGATCTGCATTGGTCAATCGTGCCTCTGCCAGTATAGCAGCATCGCGACATGAAGTGACCACTACGCTGCATTGCATGAGTCTTTTGATTGGGGGCGGGTAGAACATATCATCTTGCAGGAAGCAGTACTGCAGCAGTTCGCGCGGTACCTCATTGTCGGCTCTACTTGGAGCATTGAGGCGCAGAAGCTGCTTGGGAGTAAGATACCTCGTCAGTCGCAAAGAAAGGGTGTCTGCTGCAGCTTCGGAAGGCGCGCAAATCAACAGATGTGCAACCTTCGTTGTGTTCAAAAGCTGCATGGCCATCTCAACCAGCGTCTTTGTCTTCCCAGTGCCAGGTGGGCCACTAACGAGGTACGGCAGAGTACCGAAAACGTTGGTACACACAGAGTTGACAGCTTGCGCTTGTTCGTAATTGATAGCGTGATCGAAGAACTCGCGGCGAGGAACACTTCGTAGCCTTGTCTGGAGCCTGCCGTCTTTGTCCAGAGGAAACAACATCCTCCGTATCCAGTCGTTTCCCGAAGCTATTAAACTTGCTTTAAGATTTCCACCCACTGACAGCAACGCGCTTCGCTGTCCTTGCACAATCCGATCCTTGGCTTGGAATACCACGTTCACGACCATTGGCAGGACATCCTGATTGTTATATGGAGCAAGATGCTCCAAGTCATCGACCCTCAGGTAGACTGTTTCGTGTATCCTGCTAATGCCATATACGACTGCATTGTGTTGCCTTCCAGTCCATGTTCTATAGGCAATCATGCCAGCAAGAGAGATCGGCAATTGAATGACATCCCCAGCACTATTCACATATAACTGTCGGATCTGTATCGTGTCTCCCATCTCCACAAATGGGCTATCTTCTCGTAGCCCTGGTATGGACAAAGCCCAGAGTCTGCTACAGTCGGTCCTATCTATAGGCTGCAGCGGAACTTTGTAAAGTGAATACTGTTCGTTTTCTGTCTTCTTCGCTTCAACTTCCCGACGCAGCAACAAGTTGAAGAAAGGCAGATAAGTCTGCTCGCTGAGCTCCATTGTTTGCGACACACAATCATTAGGCCATTGCATGTCGCAATGGACTTGATGTTGAAGGAGGTCCAAACCTGCAAAACGACGTATGTATGTCTCGAACGCTATACTATGCTTCACTCTAGTATTGACTATGACCTCTGCTGGTTCATCGTTGATGGCTCGCAGCCAAGAAGGAACATATGATTTCGCATAAACGTCGAGTATGTGTACAGTTTGTGGGAGGGCAGCTCCGAGAGGGGGCGACGACTCTGAAATGCTATCATCTGTTGCCTTACGGTGGGTGCCATAATGATGTTGTGCAGCTTTTTCTGTCGTCTGCGTCGATGCTGTCGAGATTGACGGTGTTGGCAGGTTCAAGGATGCAGCGGCCCCCTTATTCTTCTCACCATCGCTTAAAGTCGAGACGAAGGGGCTTGCATGCATATCCATAGTCGTGCTTTGGTGCTCGTTCTTCCGCGGCCCCACGTCATGGCGACTACTTTGGTCAAGAATCATGATCTGCATTTGAGGCTGATAATCGCCATACAGAAATGCCTCGAAATTTTGTTGAGCCCTTGCCTAAATGAGTGCACAATTCGCGGGTGCTGTCTTCATGCGATAGAAGAGCTAAGGAGGTTTCGGGGGTAGGGCCCACAGTCCTATGGATCGTTGTTTTCACAATATAGCCACCGTTAAATGCATGACAAATCTTTGTAGCGACGAAGCTGCTTCCAAAATGTCCAGACCTATCGAAGCAACCAGATTGTCCAGAATAAGAGAGGGTTGAAAGCTCCAATTTAGCTGAAACCGTGATCAGGCAATTTGGAGGTGAAGAAGCAGAAGCAGGAGTAGGCTGTGGCTTCGACTCTCTCCAAAGCAAACAACTTGAGAACAATGAAAGTGTTAGACTAAGACGGTAAGAAGCACAAGCAGCGTCGTGCCTGGAACCGAGATGATGTGCCGTGATGAGGAGATCAGGCCCCGCACACGCGCGGATCCCATCCGTTGCGAAGCACGGACTTCAGCCCAACCACTTCGGACTCCTCACTCGAATACATGACGCCGGTCTTCTTCACTCCACTTCCGAGAAAAGAATATACTTCAAAGACATCCATCACGGGTCGCAGTCGCTGCCGATGTGTTGCTGCGCTAAAGTAGCGTAAAGGGCTATGTATGCGGGATAGCGCCAGCAAGAGCCAAAGCTGATCGGGATCATTCAGTGTATCACATCTGCAGACAAATCAGGTATGTCCATGATTGAGCTACCACCGATCTCAGCGCGAGATTTCTAATCGTACATGACGTTCTCCATCAGGAGAACCGGTCTCGAGACACTTGGCCTTTGCGAATCTGGCAAGAGTGAAGGCTGTTCCAGTCTCTCCAAAAGCGTCCGGTACAATGGTCTTCCTTTTTGAATCCTTTACTTCCTTGCAATATGGGCTTTATCACTTGGCATATGTCGACATCAAACAGGCATGCGCTGCAAGTGTCTTGTGACTTTGGTTGAGCTGCAGATATGCTGGAGGCTCCCCAGGCACACCCCGTCCCTTTCATAAAGTGACATTCCAGATTCGTCAACCAGTTCTGCCGGCAGTTATTATCCGACCCAGTGAGATACATGAAGGGTGGAATACTTGCGGGAAAGGCCAATCACACTGCAGAGATCCGAATGTGCCACCCCATCCAATGTCGACTCGATTGAACTTTCTCGTTGAGGGCTATATTAGAAAGGTGGATGTAATAAGTGGCAAGTGGTACTTTGTAGGCGATACGGCACCCCTGTACACTCCCTCAAATCGGGAAGGTGGGCTAAAGTGGGTTTCACAAGGCGAAGCTTGGCCCCTTCGAGAAGCCGTTCCTGAGCTCTAGGCTTGTGGCTGTCTGCAAGATCCACACGTTCCGTTATTGATTCGCTGCCAGTCGGCAGACTATACACGCCCGGCAGTGCTGACGCTGCGAAGTGCTATCAGCGGTTGTCTTCTGCACTAACCCACTACACACGACGTTTCGAACTCAAGATCCTGCCCTAAACCTATTGTGCATGCTCCGCCAGCACGTTCGAGTGTGGATCTGACGGCGAACATCACAATCAGGTTGAGTCCTGACCACCTTGCGGACACTCCCGCATCGTCACCACGTGCCGCGATGCGCGCAGCATGCCGGCAGTCGCCCACGCGACGAGGATGTACCTGGATGTCACTACCAAAGTTTGGTCCCAGCCGAGGGCTGACATCGGCGACTGTTTGACCATCACATACCCGGTATGACTATTGCGCCTCTAAATGACTTTTGCCGTGTGCTTGTGGAAAGCTAGAGCTTGGTC